AGATGTTGAGGAAACAACAAGAACATACATAAACTTTAAAAAAGAAACATCTGAAGAAATAAAATGAAGAAATAGAAGAGTTTGAAAAAGAATTTGAATGATAATAAAATTAATTTAACGAAGGAGAAATAAGAGATTTAGAGGAAGAAGAATTAAGAAGAAGAATTGGAAAAGGGAGCCGTTGAATAATAATAATAATAATTATAATAATAATTATAATAATAACACTAATAATAATAATAAGTAAAATAATGATAATAATTATAATAATAAGAATTATAATAATAATAATGATAATAATGATAATAATAACACCTTGAAATAGAAATCGCGAAAATGTGGCATATGGGAACATCAACAATCCCTGTTGTAGTTGGAGCCCTAGGACTGGTTGGAAAAGATTCCAGTAGACTAATTGAAGGGATTCCTGGAAGTCCATGCCTCAAGGAGATACAGAAAATTGTTCTGACAAGTACAGCCCACACCTTACGAAGGGCTTTATCTATGTAATTTTTTTTTTTTTTTTTGTCAGTGGAAAGTGTCATGATGCCATTTTTAACCTTAGGTCCCTGGGCGGGACCCGGAAAGAAATGCGTAAACGCCAGAAATCAAAGAAAATAATAAAGAATAATAATAATAATAATAACTATAATAATTATGGCAAGATAAACCGCTTCATGGCCAATACTCTACCCGTACCAAACAAGCTGACGTAGACAAAATCCGTACCCATCAGTGTCTACGTAGTGCAGGGTTAAACCTGAAACTGAAGGTTTTATCCTTGCTGCACAGGACCAATGCTTGTTAATTAGGAATTATCAAGCACATATGCTGAAATATTGTGATAGCCCAAAATGCAGATTCTGTGATAAATATCCAGAAACAATTGATCATCTTGTATCAGGTTGCACGATATTGGCACCCACTGAATATAATAGTGGGCCTATATCTGCACTGGAAAATCTGCAACTTCTACGGGAAGGAAATTGAAAGAAATTTGTATGAACACCACCAAAACTCGGTTACGAAGATAGAGCCTGTAACAATTTTATTGGACTACACAATATACACAGAACAATCAAAGCTAATCGCCCAGACATTGTTATTAGAGACCGCAGACAAAACAAATGCCTTCTTTTTGATATGGTAGCCCCTGCTGATTGCAATGAATAGTTAAAGATCTTCAAAAAGCTATCAAAATACAAAGACGTGGCACATGGGAACATCAACAAAACCTGTTGTAGTTGGAGTCTTCGTATTGGGTGGAAAAGATTCCAGTAGACTCATTGAAGGGATTCCTAGAAACCGATGCTTTAATGAAATACAAACAGTTTTTTTCACGCGTAGAGCCCACACCTTAGGAAGGGCTTTATCTATGTAAAATATGTGTTGTTCTTTTTTTTTAATTGCTCAGTGGAAAATGTCATGATGTCATTTCTTACCTTAGGTCTCTAGACGGGACCCAGAAAGAAATGTGTACACACCAGAAATCAAAGGAAATAAAATAAAAGTAATAATAATAATAATTTTTATCAATATAAATCGAACAATATTAGTAAATTGTCCAGACACTATTATGAAAGACAGAAAAGGAAAAGTTTGAACACTGATTGACGGCATTACAAAGTGACAGAAAACATCTTTGTGGAGGGTTTTGAAAACTAATCAAGTACAGACACATGGAGAATGAAATATAAAACAAATATAGAACTTTAAATCTGAAAGCTGTTCTTGTTGTGGTTGCAGTTTTGGTTCTGATGAAGAAAGAACTCGGCAACAAATCAAGAAAAATGCCTGTTGCGCCATCTTTCAAGAAAATAAAAAAAAAACAAAATTCTAAACTAGCACAGCCCTGCAAGGAGCTTTGTCAAATTTAAAATTTTTGTTGTTTGTAGCTAACATTTCTTTAATTAAGTGGAAGCAACAAACAGTCTCACCCTTCGTTTGCCAAAGGTCATTGGTCACGACCCGCCACTGATTTTTAAAACAGGTAAAAAAAAAAAATGATCATTCAAATTCAAGCTGTGCTAAGTAGGCAAAGGCTCGGAATAAACGCACTTACTATTATTCAAAACAACACAAAAAATAAAATACATCTTTAACAGTCAAAGCATGAAGAAAAATCCAGAACACCTAAAAAAATACCCTTGAAAATGGCTAAAAATGTAGCCAAAAGCGCTTGCTACAATGGACAATATGGACAATTTTTGCACTCCCACCAAACGAAAAAATCTATCTATCAATGTTCATATTTCTCTCAGACGACAGTTTATCTATCTATCTATCTATCTATCTATCTATCTATCTATCTATCTAATTTTTAATTTAATTTTTGTTTTGCCCAACACGTAAAGGCTCGGAATAAATGCCCCTACTATTATTCAAAATAACACAAAAATAAAATACATCGTTAACAACCAAAACAAAGATGAATTGGCAACACCTACAATAAAATCCCCATGAAAATGGCTAAAGAAGTGGTCGAAAGCGCTTCCTTACTCCCAACAAAGGGGAAAATGTAAGAACGCTGGTGAAACTAAATAAAAAATTTAATTAAATTTTCCATATTTACATTACTCGGACTATAGTTTACATATTTATTACAACGTTTCGGCCGTTGTACGCCCCGTCATTCTTCAGGTGGTCGGAATGTTGAACTGAACCCTTTATTTTGCTCACTGGGGTAGACTGTTCTAGTTCCATGTGCCATATTTAATGGATGTCAGTTATCAGTTATCTCCTGTTAATTCCCCTCTGAACGTTCTCCACTGCCTTAGCTGGGTATTGAACTCACACTCTTTGGGTCCTGTCACTGGATCTAACTAACGCCTTTATCCACTGTGCCCTGTGTCATTGAGGACATCTGTGCATGAATTTCTGGGTATTATGAACCTAATGTCTTCAGCTACAATTTTTTACCAGTGCTCATATTGCAATTTTTGCTGTTATCATTATATAGACAGATACTAAATTTTCCTTGTCTTTCATATTTAACGAAAGATATTTAAAAGAAAGTTTGCTGGCCAAATATACATTAATATATATATATAATTATTTTAAGACCTTGTTATGTTTATACATTCTTTTTATAGATACAAATATTTAAGTAAATGCTCTGTTTATAATAAACAGTATTAACAACATTTACCGGCCTGAATGTCCGAGAAATTTTCATAGTAAATATGTGTCCTCCGACTGGAATCGAAACTGTATCCTATACAGAACCGTCATATAGCCTGACGTGCTTTACCGATTGAGCCACAGAGGAGCGATTAGGTTAGCAAGGTCGATTTTACTTAAATATTTGTATCTATAAAAAGAATGTATAACCATAAAAATGTCTTAAAAATAATTGTCGGACTTTGTCCATTTTATAATGTGTGACGTCATTTGTTTACATTTGGATTCGCCATGAGCAGATACGATTGTACGTGAGAAAATCATGGAAGATTGTAATTTAAAAACATTAAAATCGATCTTTCTAACCAAAACGCTCCTCTGTGGCGAAATCGGTAAAAGCACGTTAGGCTTTATGACGGTTCCGTATAGGATACAGGTTTGATTCCTATCGGAGGACGCATATTTTCTATGATAATTTCTCGGACATTCAGTCCGGTAAATGTTAATACTGTTTATTATAAAAAAGAGCATTTACTTAAATAGCTTTATCTATAAAAAAAGAATGTATAAACATAAAAAATTTATATATATATAAAAATAAATAAAATAAATAAATATATATATATATATATATATATAAATATAAATATTTACTTTGTTACTTTAATGATAATGAAACATAATATTTAAAATAAAATATTATAATTTGATTAATAATAGAAATAGTATATTGTTGGAATGTTACTGAATCGCCCTACTTAGAATAAAATGATTAAAACAATATAAATATAAAATAGGGTTCCTATATTCCGTTTTTTTCTTATATTCAAGGACGAATGTACCATTCGAAATACTCACCCCTTAAATATATTATAATAGGTGATGAAAAGTGGGTGGTATACGACAATGTTCGACGCAAAAGGCAGTGGATTGACAAGGATAAATTTCAATAACCGATACCAAAAGCTGAGCACAAACGAAGAACTCTAATGTTGTGCAAAGAAAACACTAAATGTATATTTAGCCGTTCAACATGTCCACAGGGGACTGGCCGAAAATGCCCGGCGCTCGTTAATAGAAAAATGCTGATCTCCCTCACGACAACGCAATGGCGTATACAGAAATAAAAACACAAGAAACAATATTGAAACTATGTCGGTCTGTTCTATTCCAGCCGTCATATGACCTTGAATCAACTGCTTATTAACTTTATCGATTGCTGCTAAACGCTTTGATGGCGGAAAGGTTCCTCTAATGAAAAGCAGATATAATGACTGGTTGATTCGTTTTTTACGGCTTATCAACCCTTTGCAGGTTATTTCAAGCCAGAAAATATTTAAATTGTAATAATTTGAGGGTAGGGGAGAAGGACACATGTCCTAGTCGATAAAAGCGTTGGTTAAAGTAATCCAAATGTGAGCTGATCCAAAACGTTATGAGTTCAATACCTGGCCTCAGCAGAGGTAAACATAAACTTAGAGAGTTGAGTTACTAAAGGAAGATAACTGAAACTGTGACATCCAGAACAGGCATGGCACGTGGAACTAGAACAATTCACCCCAGTGAACTAAATAAAGGGTTTTGTTCGAAATTCCAACGTATATCACCTGAAGAAGACAGGAGCGTACAGCGGCCGAAATGTGGATATGACAATAAAAGTGAGAGCAACAGCCCGAACAATAGAAATAGTGTAAAAATAATTTCGGTGAGGGGGAAATAATAACAATTTTTGTGATACAAGTCTTACTAATTAACCCATAGATGGGGAGAAGAGGTTGATTCATACCTCTCTCAAGGGTATTTGCGAAACTAGAATTGGAATTTGGCTCTCCGGTTAACAATTGCGAGCATTTGCTTATTACACCACCCGCACATCCAAGCTTACAACGCCTGGTATTCTCAAGCCGTCACCCATCTAGATACTGACCAGGCTCGATGTTGCTTAACTTCGGTGATCGTACGGAAACCGATGCTTCAACGTAATATGGTGAACCCCAGATTCAAGATTTGGTTGAAAAGTTTTTCCACATCAAATATCCGCGTAATTTAATCAGAAGGTATCGAAGTGCGGCCTGGTAAGTGGCAACAGGTCATTGCAAATAATGGCGACTCTGTAATTGAATAAAATCTAATTGTACCTTATTTTCTGAAGAATAAGGTTGATTTAAAAAAATGAAAACTATTTATGATTCAACCATATAAATGTTTGTACCTTCTTTTTTCGATATCTCTTGGGTTTCGCCCTTAAATGACGCAATGTCTGGCATCGACTTACTGATAGATACAATTAATAGAAATTTAAAATAGATATAACAGATGAGTTTTACCCAGTACTCTGTGTATATTTGTGTGTGGCGAGGGGGAGTTCAAGACAACTGGATGATAATTCAAATCTGGCTGGAGATTATTTTTTTTATTCCTGATTTATGCTCTTTACTTAACTGGTCACGAAAAAAAAAACATTGTTAAAAATGAAATTCAGAGAAACTATTTATTTCCTTTGCACTTGTAAAAATAGTTTTGAATGTTTCTTCTTATCTTTCTCCTTTAGTTTCTTTCTTTTTTATTCCCGTTTTTCTTTTCTTTTTTTTTTCCTTTTCCATATTTTACGTCCGGTTTTCTTTCTGCTTCTCTTTTTCTGTTCGTACTTTCTTTCTTTGCTGGTCCTTGGATTGAGTTTACTTTTTTCTTTCTATCTTTTCTTTTTCGTTATCGTGATTAGACATTTTCTTTTTCTTCTTCATTAATCTCTTTTCTTCTAGTTTAGCAATGATCTTACTCCATCACGTTTTTATATATTATGAATGTAACTATTGAATATATTCTTTCTTTCTTTCTTTCTTTCTTTTTTTCTTTCTTTCTGTAATTCGATCTTTTCTTAATCCTTTTTTTGCTCTTTTTCTATCTTTTCCTCTCTCGTTTCTTTTTTCTTCGTTTTTTCGCTCTTCTTCTTTAATGTTTCTTTCTTTCTTTCTTTCTTTCTTTCTTTCTTTCTTTCTTTCTTTCTTTCTTTCTTTCCGTAGTTCGATCTTTCTCTTATTTCTTTTTTTCTTTCTTTCTTTCTTTTCCTCTTTTTTGCTTTTTTCTTTCTTTCTTTTTTCCTATCTTCTTTCTTTCCTTTTCGCTCTTCTTCTTTAATTTTTCTTCCTTTCGTTCGATTTTTTCTTTCTTTCTTTCTTTCTTTCTTTCTTTCTTTCTTTCTTTCTTTCTTTCTTTCTTTCTTTCTTTCTCCCATTTTCTTTTTTTATCCGTCTTTCTTTCTTTATCCGTCTTTCTTTCTTTCTTTCTTTCTTTCTTTCTTTCTTTCTTTCTTATTAATTTACTGATCGGTCCTAAGCTTTGTTTCGGACAGCATAAGGCCTAATTTGACGAAATTGGAGCAGGAAATCGTGCCTGTCTTCAAAGTCATTTTTCAATATCCTACCATTTTCCTCGCCGCCAACACTGACCTTGAACGATACAATTTTCCAACGCACCAAATCCAGTGGTTCAGCCTTTCGGCGTGACGCACTCAATGAGAATCGAACCGACTCCCTAACCGAAAATCGAGGACCGGCATCTGATAACAGCCGACGGTCGCTTCACTCGTGCACCACGGTGTACAACGCGCGTCCGGCAACAGCGACCGACGCCGGCAAGTCGCTTACTCAATCCTTTCTCTCGTCTTAATTATTTCACGCTTTTATTTTATTTCCCATCCATTTGCAACACTCTTTCATTTAATCATTGTTTGGTTTTTTACCGTTCCTGTCTGCCAATTTCTTTTTAGTTTTTAGAAACGACAAACTTGAACATGGCCGATACGCCACTACAGTCATGGCCGCTTGCCAATGATGTCGTCTCACATCTCTTCCGGCCTGAAGCTGGATTTTTTTTTTCGTTTAGAATGGCCAACAAAACATGGGCAAAGCTGCAAAGAGTTAAAAGGAAAAAAAAACAAAAACGCTCACGATAAAAAAGAGGAGGAGCAAGAGAAATAACAAAGTTATTGTTTTATCCATTTCTCTGTCCACCTTTTTATCTTTTGCCAACTTTAAGAATCGCTTCCAGAATATTCGTATTTATTTCTTTTTAATCGGGACATATGAGTTTCTCTCTTTAATCGAAATATTTATAGCTTGGCTTGAAATCGACGTGCTTTTCTGGCCATAGAATGCAAAGAATTTGTAAATGATCCCTCGGACAATTTATCACAACGGACACAATCGTTTGATAGCGTTTCCTTGTCTTCTGTTACTTAAATCGACATTACGTAAAGGATTTTCATAAATATTGAAGTAGGCCTTATAATACAAATTTCATATAGCAGAATCGGTAATATATCTTTATATTCACAGCTAAAGGACGACAGAAGCATTTAATGCAACAAATATTTATACTTCAGTATAAGCTCCTTTTTTTATATATATATATATATATATATATATATATATATATATATATAAGATTTAAGAAACAGCAAATATTTTTATATATAGTGCTCAATATTAAAAAATATTAAAATAATATTATAAATAGAGCGTTAATGATATTACAAGAAAAGATTACTTAACTTTTAAATATCAATTTTATCCCGACTTCGATGTTTCTTGGTAAAATTTCCAGTCTTCAGGAGTTGTGGTTTTAAACAGGATTTCCAAATTTTCACTTAATTCCGTGTCTTTTTCAATCCGCTTTTTTACTCTGTTTTATACACGTGCGTGGTCATGAATTTAACGTTTTTTTTGCACGACCATGTTCATGAAATTTTGTGTTTGTTGCGTCTTTCAGTTTTAGACGGCAGATTTTTTTCTACTTGTAAAGGTTTTCTTCGAAATTAAATAAAATTTTTTTTGTTTATATAGAAGTTGTTATGTTATATTATTAATTAAATTGTAATATTTGTTAATTTTTATTATTAATTAAATTTTAATATTTTAGATAATATTTTAATTGATTTATTATATCATATTATTATTAAAGTAACAAAGTAAATTATTTACATTATTCGGACTATTATTTATTACAACGTTTCGACCGTTGTACGCTTCGGTCTTCTTCAGGTGGTTGGAATGTCGAACTGAACCATTTATTTCGCTCACCGGGGTAGACTGTTCTAGTTCCACGTGCCATGTTTGATGGATGTCAGTTGTCAGTTATCTCCTGTTAATTTTCCTCTGAAACTTCTCCACTGCCTTAACCGGGTATTGAACTCACATTCTTTTGGGTCCTGTCACTGGATCTAATCTTTATCCACTGTGCCATGTGTCCTTGAGGACATTTGTGTATGAATTTCTGGGTATTATAAACCTAATGTCTCAGCAACCATTTTTACCAGTGCTCATATTGCAATTCATTTCTATGCTTGGTCGGCTCAGGAGATTTTTGTGGCCTAGCATATGTGCATATAGACAGATACTGAACAAAGTAAATGCTAGTTAATATATCGGCATCGATCCAACATTTCATTCTTTTTATTTAATAATTTAATCTGATTATTAAAAGTTAATATTGCTCATTTTTCGTCTAAACACAATCTACAGTTCCTATTGGTAATATTATAGGAGTGAACTTTTTTTTTAATAATTTCCCATTTAACTATAGTAGGTATATTATTTTGTTTTTGACTCCATGTATATTTTGACAATGTTGTGTAGTCTACGTTTTATCTATTGTAAAAGACATCATATGATTATTAAAGCTTTCTTTAAAAAAGCTTTCGGTTGCTCCTATGGATATCTTTTCTTCTGTGTTGCTATTTGATATACTTGCTTTAGATGTTATATCATTAGTTAAACATTCATTATTAAGTGGACATTTATTTTTATTCTGACAATTACAATTATTATTATTGCTATTTTTCGGAGGTTGGCCATTTGTTCTCGTGCCTGCATTTTGAGATAAGTTCTGATCGTTTATTTTGTAATTTGTGTTGGGCTGAGAAGGTGATTATAGCTATTTTCTCATCCCGACAAAGTTTACAGTTTATTGGATTTATTTTTGGAATAAGGAAAACAGCGTCAGCTATATATATATATATATATATATATATATATATATATATATATATATATATATATATATATATATATTATTTAGGCAGCAATTTTTCATTGATGCATGTTTCATTAAGCAATATAGACAAGTTTTGTCTATTTATTTTAAGTAAGTTCCTTTCATATTGTCTGATAAGCTTAATAACATTATCCTTGAAGGACGAAAGGAAATCACCAAAACATAATTGGACACTGATGTCAACATCAAGCGGTAGCAGTCTGTTTCATACATGAACGCAATCTTCAGGCCATGTGTGTTGTGTTGTCTCGACTATATATATATATATATATATATATATATATATATATATATATATATATATGTGTGTGTGTGTGTGTGTGTGTGCATGTATGTGCATGTGTTTTGTGTTTTCTTTCTGTTAAATAGAAACATTAAAAAAACTTCCGTTTCTCTCTTTTATTTAGAGATAAGACTAAATTGTTATAAATCAGGCGAAACTCATTACAATATATTAATTTTTCTGGCAAATATCACTAAATACGTTGAGATAAATTTCTTTACCTATCATTTTTCTTTCGTAAGCAGAAAATTTGACTTTTCGGAACGTAAAACCATAGGTCGTATTGTTTGTTTACAAACACATATATTCACCGGTGGTCATATAGGAAAAATATTTTTTCGAGGTGTAATGTATCATAACTCACTCAAGTGGATACCTGGCTCAGGCTCTGTAAAGTGAATGTAGACTGATGACGAAATCCTATTAATAACTAATTGATGATAAGCTGACAGGTCGAATTTCATATATGGAATCCTGTCGAATTCGATATTTGGAATCCTGTCATTGCTCTCAATTTGAAACTTAGGGCCTTACATGATAAATAACGGCACCAATATTTTCTAAAATCGTTTTTTGGAAAAAATAATTTAAAATTTTACGTTTAGGTTCAAAATCATAGCGTTGGAATTTAATTCCGGGGATCAGTGAA